AATACCCTCAGTTCTAAATTTCAATAATTTGCTTTCCTTGCAGCAACCATTTGTGATCAACCATCTATTATAGCTCCAATTTTCTGTTACTTCTGCATATTCAACAATTCTTTCTAAAATCTTAATCTCTCTCCCTCTCATCCCCAACCACTATAACCATGACCACCACTAACAATCTTGAAAGCAGTCAGGCAGACTGGCAGCTGGACTTAATTTAAATATATTCTGGTGCTTCTACCAAAAAAAAAAAAATCTGTCTCTGTTTCATGATGTGACAAAGGTAAATGACCTAAGTAGCAACTTAACTTTTAACAATTTTTGTTAATATTTAATCTTATATTTTATATCTACTATTTTAAGAAGGCTCAGATTTATTTCTGGATAAACATAACTACTTTTATCATACCACGATTTTAAAGGACAGAGTAAATATTATACCAGTAAAAATTTTCTCTTGCTCCTCAGATGCCTTTTAGACTAGATCTACCTCCAACTTCTCCAGTTAATAGAGTGGAGCATCCATGTGTATTACCAAAAGTGATGTATAATCTATTCTGATGGTTTAGGGCCACATTCTCTACTCCCTTCAGTAGGAAAAACTGCCAGGGAAGTGGGCTTACAGTCTTGAACCAGCTGGATTCACAGAGGACATCTCAGCTTCTTTGAGTTGGTAGAGTTCCTTGTTCAGTTGCTACATCTTCACTCCAGAGAGCATGAGCTCTCCTGTTAGGTGATTAGAACCGGGAACAAGAGCAAGCTTCCTGAGACCAGGGTGGTACAGCAATTGAGGGGACAGGCATCAGTTGTGAGAAGTGACAAAGGAGACCATTCATGGTATCCATCCTTCCCAGCTGAGCTGGCTGTAGGCTCAGTTACCTGTAGCATAACAGCAGCTTTTACACTCTGAAAATACGCAATGCCAACTTCTCCCGGAAGACTCCTCTACCATTCTGGGGTTGCATCGTTATCACAGGGAATGAAAATATGGTCTTAATCCAATTAGGAAATAAAGGACACTTGTTAGGAAAAGTTTCAAGCCAACTTAACATAGCAAATATTTGCTGGTTTGAGTTCACTTGCCTGCAAGAAATATTCTTTTTTGATAGAGAAGCACATGATCCCAAACCAGTTACAACTATGTCCCTGGAATCACTGGTGATGAAAGTGATTGCCATGGAAGGTGGGGTAGGAGAGGAATTTTAGAGATCAGTTACACAGTCCTTGGCAGAATGCCTTGCACAAAGTAGTCTCAATAAATAACAGGTGAATGGATGACTCCAGTCACGTCCTCTTTTCATAGGTGAAGGAACTAAAGCCAAAGGGAAGAAGTAATTTACTCAATAACATAAAGCTGACCAGTGGCAGAGCCCGGACGAGATACCAGAATTTCTAAGTCTTTAGTGATTTTTTCTTTCTACAATACCCTTTTTTGTATTCCGTCATTTCTACTGTTACATTGATCAGCTGTGAACTATAATCATCTCCATCCCTAGAACTTTGTCCATGTGATCACATGCCTGCAAGGCCCTTTGGCAGAACAACTCTAGTCTCCATGTCTATTTACGTTGTCTCCGAATTCCCCCAGTGCTTACTGCCTGCACCACATATTTAGAATTTTAATACAAAGAATTACAGATTCTTTTGCAGTGATTCCATATGTATTTATTGTATCCTTAATATATTTGCATGCTCCTCTGAGTAAGGGACATTTGCTTATAGTTCTTTCCTATTTCTCAGCATGTAATTCTTAGATTATAGGTGCAGAAGAGATAGAATAAGCATGTAATGTAGCATCCATATTGGGACACTTTTGAGAGGCAGAGAAAGTATTCATATTTGCTCCATAAGTGTAAACTGTGATTATCCTGGACAATCTGGAATGTATGGTCTCTCTAACAATAGTTGACTTGTTCAACACGTGTTCAATTAGAATCATTCCACTGCTGATTGTACAATTGTCCAACTATGGGATACTGTTCACAGTTTACCTTATTACACTGAGTGGAAGTATTTCTAAAGTAGTAATCACTGAAAAATAGTAAACATTATGGAATTATATGTACCGAATACTTACATGTATATGTTGTATGTTTATAAGTTATTATGAATATTTCCACAAAATATTCATTTGTTGTCTTAAAGTTGTAAGAATAAAGTTAAGTGAAAAACTTCTGTTGGTCCAGTTTTAATCATTCCAATATTGAAAATGTGGCTAAGAGTGAAAAAAATGGCATTCTCTCTCATTCTTTCCTGATGGTAAAATATGTGGGCTAGGTGAGGTGGGGTCTAAATTTGAAGTTTAAAAATAGATTTAAATTTAAACATGCTATTCAAAAAAGTATCAGGACATCATAATTTTAAATTTCTTTTGGGGTAAATTATGGAGACATTAATAAAGGAAACAAGTAAAGTCCATGAGAAATTCATATACAACTAATGGCTGACTAAAATTTTATAGCATTTACCCACCATCATACTATATATTAATAAAATGAATCTTTACACTGATTTGTTAAGAAATAATCAAAGTTTTTTGGCACAATTTTCAATATATATATATGTATTTTTTTCTCTTCAGATATGTAACAAAGTTTCAGACATCCGAGACAGAATAGTCCATAGTTTCAATTTATTAATATCGCCAAATTAGAAGTTTAATGATAAAAACTCCCTGCAGCAGAATGAATTTTAAGTACTTGAACAATGGCATTTACATCATCTGCTCCAGATAGAAATTTGCTGTCTTGATAGTAACAAAAAACAAATAGGAAATTTAGATACACTGAGCCAACAAGAGGGTAACTGCAACAAGGAAAGAAGTATTTCCTAGATAAATTGCTTTTTCTTTTGCATACTACATTCTATACTAAATAACACTTCATTTAACTATAAGTAGATGTTTATCAAAAAGATTCATAGTCTTTATCACAACTGTTTATATATTATAAGAGCATCTGAACAATCATAATTTTCCATCTTCAAAGTTCTAAATGAAATTAAAGTACACCAGCAGGGGGGAAAAAAGCAAAAATAATTACACGGGAAACAAAATAGAATGTTGCCCTTAGGAAAAATGCTGAGAACAGACATTATGTTGACAGATTCTCAACTACCCACATAGACTTCCAAGACAAGTCCCTAGACTACATTATTTTAAGAAATTAAGTTTAAAAAATCTATTTAAATGACTGTCTTCCCACATCCTGTTATCAGTGTAAAATGTGTGTATGTGGCTTTGGAAAGACAGGGGAATGTTCAAATAGCATTTATTCTGCATTAAAATAATAAGAGGAAAAATTAAAATCTGCATCATTATAACACATTCATTTATAAGGTTGGTAGGTCACGTGAACACCATCTTGCCATAAGTCTAGGAAAGACAATATTTATTTTCATTTTAAAAAGAGACCAATTTCTGGAACCTCAAGACAAGGCCCATTTTCTACTCTCATTTTCTATTACCCACATACCTGATGGTTAAATTTCTTTTATCCTTGGTTCAATAGTGTCAATAAAGATGATGGTTGAAACAACAATAATTTTTAAAAAATACTGTGTAAAAAAGTCCTTTCCTTGCCAATTGTCAGGAAAAAAGGTGTCATATTTTTATTGGGTTTTGTATTTCAATCAACAAGGATTTATTTAGTTTGATACATATTTTTCACTGATACATTTCCTCTCAATTGTCTGAAAATAAGAAAATTATAAGCTACAAGTTGTGTACATTATTTTATAATGTTGGCCTAATTATCAGAACATAGCCATGACCTGAATTGAGACCTATGAGTCCAGAGTCCTTCCTGGCTGAGGACCCTAAAGACGTTTCCTAGGAAGTCAAGTTTACCATACATAATGTTAACACAAAAAAAGCGTGAGGTCTTCCTTTAAAGTAATTATTTTCACTTAAATAACTTATCATGAATTCATCTCTCACAAATTAATCTTTTCTGGATTTTAAATTAACTTTCCGTCTGTGTTTTATTTACCACATAAAACAGTGTCACTTTTTTTTTTCTTTTCAAATGGAAGTACTGGGGATAAAACCCAGGACCTCATGCATACTAAGCATATGCTCTACCACTAAGCTATTATCCACCCCCAGTGCCATGTTTTATATGGTGCTAAAGCTATAGTATTCAATTTTCTAGAGCATTCTTCAAGTTCTTGTTATAAGAATTAATGCCTACTTCATAGGTAACTTTATCCATCAGTAATCATTTATTGAGCATCTATTTTATGCAAGGCACTGGACTAAGCATTGCAGTAACTACTAAGATGTATGAGAAGATAAAGTCTTTGCTTTCAAACTTAGCTAATAAGATAATAACATAAATGAATACAAAAATGGGAAATTGGTCATTGCCAAACTGTGCGGTAATGGGAGAAATTCATGGAGCATTGAGTATTCAAAGGTATTACACAAGAAATAAGGGACTAGAAATAGCTCTTAAGTGTAGATCTGAATCATAAGAAATAATTGGAAAAGGAATTTTGTCAACAGTAGGTTTAAATAGACTGTTACAGTATCTACAGGGAATGAGGAGGCTGAGGAAGGCTAGCCAGTCAGAAAGTTGCTAGGAATGTGGGGCAAATAAATACACAGGAGTCAACATCTGCGGGATAATTGTAATCTCATTTTTGCCACTAGAAGAAAACAACTTATCTCTCCTGTCCCACTAACAATGAGCACTTTGCCAGGGAATTTAAATGAATTTAATCCATAATGTAATCAGATCAGTTACTTAGATCATTCCACTAGTGTCGGCTTTATTTTATGGACTAGGATACCGAGTCTAAGACGGTTAATGTGAGTTGCTAAGAGTGACACACCCAGCAATAATAATGATAATAATGCAGTAAGGGTTATAACATTTACTGCGTACCTGCGGTTGAGCTGATACAGATATGGGCACCTTTATCTAGTAGTAGCAGATTCTGAGCTGCTTGCTTTGTCTCTTCACCCCTTCATTTTCCTTAGGCACGGTCCCAGGGCCCAGGTGCTATGTATCCCCCTGCATGCAGGAGTAGCCCACAGCATGACTCTCCCAGCTTTGTTGGGGGGATTTGCTTTTGCACTGCTCGATGCCCATTTGGTCAAGGAGGAGCCCAATGGGTCACTTGCCAGTGCTGTAGACAGTGAAGCTGGAGTTGGGACCCTGTGCTTTGTGCCGAAGAAATATCTTGAAGGAGAGGGTGGATAGGAGACCTGAAACATCTCAGGATCCATTGCTTCATTCACTCAGTGTGGCTACTATATACATGGGTCAGCTTCAGGGGAAGGAAATGTGAATCTAGACTCAGGCAGGTCTGGGTTCAGAATCCCAGCTCTGTCACTTGCTAGCTGTGGAAACCTGGAAATTCATTTAAGCCCCTTTGATCTATGTTTCCTCATATGTTAAATGATCAATAATAACCACTTTATAGACTGTTGACTGTTGTGAGAATTAGAAATAACTTGCAGAGTTCAGTCCAGTACCTGATATTAGTAGATGTTCAATAAATAATAACTATTGTCACCACTAAACATCTCCCACATCACCAATGGTAATTCTCTTTTTCTTTTCAAATTACCATTTGTGAGGAAGTTGCTTTAAAGTTCTTCTATTTTTCAGTTAATAATTCCACATTTTTCTATTTGTCTTATAATTTTCCCTTACAAAAGCCAAGTTGCTTTATACCTAATTGTTCGTGTTGGCTTAAATGTTGACTACTACTATTTAAAATTGCCGAAAGTTTCCTGATGAGAATTTGTAGATCATGACCCTGCAAAAGACAAAGACACATTTTTCTGTGTATCTGGAAGGAACTCACATTCTCCCAAATGTACAAAACAGAAAACTATCCATTTGATGTGCTTCCCATTTCTTCTCCTGGTTATGACTAAAAATGTGTCACTTCAAGGAGCCATTGGCAAATCATCATCACTACCTATTGATAAAGGTCATTGATAACATTCTATGAACCAACTACTACTCTAAATGTAGAGTTTTCCTATTTAAAGAAAGCCTTTCTATACCCCTTCTACTTTTGCCCTAGCCTATGATACCCCCTTGGATGCTCAGCCATCCTGGAATTCTAAAAATAGTCTGACCTTAAGTGCATAGGACTGGATTAATTATAATCCTTGGTACATGAATCACCATTATCATCTTATCAAACATGGCTCCATTGACAAAATTAATTATCAATCAAAAACAAAAACAATGCATTGATTTACATTGTGAATATTCAGTTTTAGGAAATAATGCAAACATTTTTTCCCTCAAGCATTTGCACAAATGTATACTTCTGCCAGTAATGCGTAAGAGATCTGATTGATTCACATTCACATGCCCACAGACTTTTAAAATTTTATCAACACAGCAGGTAGAAATGTTCCATTTTCTTCTTGCCTGACCTCCCTAGATAAGGAAGTTTCAACCAAAGTTGAGGTTTAGAACATTTCCTAGGCACTTGAAACAGAATGGAATCAAATATGAGAACTTTCTCAGTAAAAGAGAACTACAGGTGATATACTAGGCCCTTGTTGGTTAAAGGTTTTTAGAAATGAAGAAGAAAACAATTTAAAAGTAAGCAGTACCTAATTTAAGAGTAGAAAAAAGTGCACTCCCCAAATTAAACTGCATATAGAGGCTTATCTGCAACTCATAAAAGAACATATTTTTCCTGCCTAAAGTTACAGAATAATGGCAAATTGAAGAGAAAAATGTGAATTCACACTTGTTTCTATTTTTCCAACAAAGGAGACATTTCCAAACTGCTGGTTAACTGGTTAGAATGGATATTCTAACTGGTTAGAATTTTTGAATGTGCAGACTATTTGATGGTTATAAATACAAAAAGATGGAAAATAACATGCAACAAATTACTTCTTAATTTTGAGTTTTAATAGTTCACATTTCTTTTAGAAAGACCATTCGTTTATGAAGTTGTGGTTCCACTTAATTCATCATTTAGAATAATACATGGTTCTTATTCCACAATTTTGAAAAGCAGTTGCTGTTTCCCAGAGTAATTGTTTTATATGTAATATGGCTGCAATGGTATTAACGGTAAATCATAATATTACTTCCAATATCCATACTCATCAAAACGCAATGCTGTAGTAGGGATAACTCACCTAAAAGAAATTTAGTCAAGGTTTTTACTTTATCAGTGGCAGTCATTCTTTCTCTGTCTTTGGTGATGTGCCTGTTCTGTGATGTTCTGTTTAACCATGGCCCAATAACATAATGTACTTGCCAAATATTAATTGCAACAATAGCATTTAACGCCTCGTTTTTGTGCAAGAGGGGCATGTCTAAATAAACAAAAGTTCCTTAGTATAAAGATATGAAGATGAAAAAAATTCAGCTTTTCTTAGGCGTAAGATAGGTACTACTTAAATACTGCTCCAAAAAGGAGAGCAAACTTACACTATTTAATTATTTACATCAATTTTGGATACATGAAGCATTAGAGAAACATTTCTGCTGAAAAGTTAACTACTGGCTTTATTAAAATCTTGATATTATAAGTCATGACTAATTGATGCAGACCAGCGAACCAAAGTCGTTTGCAGAATCCAAAAAGCTTTCAAATTTTTACCTTCATTTATCAATGCTGTAAGGGTAAGTTACCAGGCACTTAAGATCTATAAGCTTTACTTTCAGATCAGCACTGTGATCTAATGATAAGGTACTCCATCTGTGGTCAATGCAGATTTTTTCTCAAGATAACTATACATTGGACAAAAAACCAAAATGTCTTTCTTTTGCTTACTTTTACTAATATCCTTCTCAAAAATTTAATTGGTCAACCAGCAAATATTTATAGAGTACCTATTACATACAAGGTATTTATGTGAGTGCCTGGATAGGGCATAAAAAGACAAATAGATTACTTAATGAGATGAAAAAGATAAAGATGGAAAATATATATACAGTCCATTCCAATATATAAGCTCATTTCTTGAAGATTCTCCTGGGGAAATGTGGGCTTCATTGATTCCTCCCTTTTGTACCTGTATAATCTTTATTGCTTAGAGTACACTATTTGGCTCTTTGTAACATTCTGCCTTTTTTGTTTGTGTTACCATAATGCATCTTATCTCACCAATAGCATTATGAGCAACCTGAGATGTCATAGATCTTAGCCAAGAGTTACCTGCAACCTCCATCATAATCCCTGGCATAGGGCGGAAGGCATAGTAATTCTCCATAATTGTTTTGGTTAATTAATCTAATATTCAAAGGTATATTATCCAGATAACTTAGTCTACTCATTGCTTATTCTAACCTCCAGGACTCAAATGAAAGGGAAAAAAGTAAAATTCAGTGTATCACCATCAACTACTGGCTGTGGACTCTTCTATTAGTCAAATGTGTACAGCAAGTTGTGGGAAAGCAGAATGACTTAGAGTAATAAATATCTTTTTCCTGTGAGGGGGTATTTTGATATGTTAATTGTAGTGTTTTGCTTTTTAAAAATTAGGTTACATCATTTTTAGTTCTAATGCAAACTTAATGCACTACCTATTAATATGCAGAGTCAAAAATAATGATCTTGAATTTATATATTTTTCCCAAAAAATAAACTGAGAACTTTATGTTCTCTGGGGCATGATATCATAAAGTATAATGAAGGCAGCGTTACTGGATCTGTATTCTGCCAGCTCTTACCATCCAAATTGCCACTGACCTTCCCCTGAAGGCTTTAGAGAGCCTCGCTACACTTTTCTCTTCCTCTAATTCAGTGAATATTCCTTCTCACAGCTGTAACTTTGCCATAGGGAATCTCAATCAGTCAATTGTGGGAGCGGAGGAAAACATTCTTTTTAAGTGGCAGAATTCAATGTTAGATAGCAAACATAAAGAAAGTTGTTTGGGAACAAGTCATGGATTAATTGTGTGGGATATACAGAAATTAAAATACAGATCAAATTTGTTCCTTCTGTTTCATTTGATTTGGTTCTTCTCTTGGGAATCTAACATACAAATCAATTCCCTAAGCTTATGAATACTGAGAAGTGATTATCTTAATTCAACTTTTCCTAAAAGGTTGTCTAGATAGTAGATGATCAGCTTTTAAAAGTTGTGGCTTGAAAAAACTTTCACCACACCAGAGTCTCAAACATCTGAAAATGACCCTAGCATGACATGACTCTATATTCACCTGGTGGTTGGGGATGTTTGTTACAGGTGCAATAACTGGGGGGCACAACACCAAAGCACCAGAACTGTGAGACAAAGATGGGAGATCCAGTCTCAGATTTCTAAGTACCTACAGGAGTTTCTCTTTAGAAGAGCTGCTATAAATATTACCAAAATCTCTTAATCAGAGTCTTCCTCTATCTTTTCCATGTTTCTCTCACTTTTTCTGTCCCACCTTATTTTGTTACTGACTATAACCCAGTAAAGTCACAGGCCCCATTAGCTCTACCTCATTCAATGCTCATTGGTTTCCAACCTTCTCATGAAACTCCCCTTCCCCTACCACACACACATGAAGGGCTCTTCCTCCTGCCCTCTCCACACTCCAAATTCAACTCTATCTTCAATGCTGAGCTCAGAGGCCGCTTCTTATACCTTGTTACACCACAAGCGAATCTTACCCTTTGTTCACTTGCTTTCCCTCATTGGATTTATAGCTTTCTTTCCCTGAGCTAGCTTTTCACTGATAAGCTTTCAAGTAAACATTTTCCCCCCCATTGAATTACTTTCTTTAAAAATGTACTTTCTTATATTGTATGTCAATTATCTCAATTTAAAAAGAGAATATCATCAGAAAGAGAACTGAACTAGAGACAAATTTCTAGAAGAAAGAACTTGTTGTATTCGTACTGACAGGTGCATCAGAGATGAGGAAGGTGTCAGCATGGAAGATACCTAAGATGGAAGTGGAAGCCATAGAGAAACTTCCTAGTCACCCGTCTACTAGATACCACCCTACGGGCATCTTAGAGGCAACTCGAATTCAACATGTCTAAACTCGTCTCTGTCCCCTCCCCTAAATGAAACTGCTCCTCCTCTTCCTGTATACTCCATCTAAGCAAAATGTGTCACATATCACTAAGTGTGCAAGCCAGAGACCTGAGAGTCATCCTTGACTCTTCCTTCTCTCTTACAATTCACAACCAATCACCAAGTCCT